CAGCTACAGCCTCAGCGATCTGAGTGAGCCAGATATGCATCGCACCCAGGATGAACTGGACGAGGTCATGTTGACGTCTTCAACATCAACAGTGATGATGCGTCCCCAGCCAGCGCGACTGCTGCGCCAGCGCCATCAGACGCCGGTGGGACGTTCCGCTAGCGGCACACGCCACTCAACTGGCATGTACTTTGGCGAGGTGGATGTCAGCTCCAGCTCCAGCTCCGCTGCTGCCGGCAAACATGCTGGCGATTTCAAGTGAGTTTTGAATGTCGCATTGTTCTGGTCCATCAATTTAACACACCTCCATGCACACACAGCTACAATATACGCAGCACGGATGACATCAGTTCGGGGTATTCCAGTGCGGAGCCGGTTAGTGCCCCCCTCGCCAGCGGCCTAAGTCGCACCTCATCCATGACAAATGCTTCCAAGGGCCGCGTGAAGTCCAAACGGAACGAGGTAAGCTTTGTGCTGTTACTGTAGCCGAGGTGTTTCCTAATTTACTGAAGGAATGGGCTGAATTTCTTAACAAATTGTTGGAATTTTTTATGGGGCATTCCGGTTTTTCGGGGTCTAAACTTAGCTATATGAGTCTGGATTTCTGTTTTGATTTTAATAATAAATAACAAATAACAATCTTTAACTAGAAAGAATTAGATATTTAGAAGCACCTCGGGCTAACTGTTTGCCTGTCCAGTATCTATACAATTAGAATTACCTAATGGATATTATTGAAATGATTCGATTAGCAAATGCTGGAAGATATGCGCGCAGAGGTATATTTGGAAAATGAGCGCTACTTTCAAATGGCCAGAGCGCAACAGCTGAAGACTAATGCCCAGAGGCAGTTGCAGATTGTGGAGAGCGAAGAAGAGAATGACAGGAACAACGAGAAGGAGGAGGAGGAGGATGAAAATGAGGATAGCTTTTATGAGGCAGTGACTGCGTTAGAAGCTGTTGAAAGCATAGCTCCAGCACAAAGCATAGAGTCAGCTGACAAGGAAGTGCCTCTTACAACGGACGAGCCTGCTGCAAAAGAGCCAGGCGAGAGAATGGAAGCAGAAGAGCTCAGCGAGAACGAGGAGTCCTTTAAGGAAGCCCTGAACACAGCACCAGCTGATGCGGAAATCAATTTAGGCGCCTACCAAATGAAATCAATTGAAACAGCCAACAAAATAGATGACTTTAAAGCACTCGTGGATCCCTTTCTATTGGTGGTAACCGAGTCCAAATTGGAAATGGAAGAAGCAGCGGAAGCAGCCAATGCAGGTGTTAAAAAAGCGCAATCCGTGTCACCACGCGAATTGGTGGCTACGCTGGAGGAGATCAAGCACAGTTTTCGCGCGCAATTGGAACCGGAGACATCGCCACTGCGTCCCAAGGCACAGCATGGCAAAGGGCGTGCACCGGCGCCGCCTGTGCCGCCGTTGCCGCCACGCAAGGAATCGCGTGCAGCGGACAATGTGAGCCTCCACTCTGTGACGTCCACGCAATCGGAGCGCAGCAAGTCAGGTATCGGCTATCTATTCAAAAGTATGAAAGATAATGTGCTGCGCAAAGCTAATCAGCAAACGGATGAGGCGCTCAGCGGCAGCTCAGCCAAAGAAACGTCCATTTGATGTAAGCCACAGACAGCCACGAGGCTAAATCCCCGTACAGCTCATCCAAGTGTTAATCGCATCGCTCGTCTCTGATCCTAACTTACAAAACCCCCTCGTTGCGCATTGTACAGAGCCTTGTGTTGCCCACTAACAGAAACGTTTTGCATTTTCAGCATGTTTATTTATGCGTTAGTTCTAGCTTAATTATAACTTCATCTAATGTACGGTTTTTTAAATTTCTTTGCAGGACAAATCCATGTCCGCTAGCTGCACCACCTTGCCCCGCAGCAGCAGCAGCCGCAAGGCGGACAAAGCTCAGGCAACGACTGCTTCGGGCCAGGCCAAAACGCGCATCAAGCTGGAGAAGTAGAGGGTGCATCTTAAATCTACCAAATTAGCTGATATATCTATAAATCTATATATGTGTATGTAATCTCTATTCCTATCGAGAATGTCTTTTAAATTAGTTGTTCGGTGCTCAAATTTGGCCAATGTGTGTGAAGCGTGTGGACGGCAATGTTAAATGAAAGAAAACAAGTATAAACCTCATGTTTTAGTTTAAATTGTAATCTAATACTGATATTATAATAGTGATCAACATTATCATAATTCGAATCGATGATAATATCGGATTTTGTTTGTGATTCTGTTACGAGTTCCCCTTTGGAAATTTACCTAGCCAATAGATATTGATATTCATTTCGTAGCCACGTCTAGTGTTAAGTGATTGTCCTATGCTACAACCAGGTTCTAAATGCAACTATAGTACTAACCAAGAACAAAATGATCTATCTGAATTTGAAGTTTAAATTCAATGCATTGTATTTGATAATTCAATAAAACTTAAACATACATATGTAAATTATAGGAAAATCTTTCAATGCAATGAGAAAATTTGTGTATTGCTGAAAATCCATTTCTAGACTGAGTACGAACTATTTTGCATAGGGAAGATACTTCTCCCGCCCTATAAAGTGCACTTTCCTGTCTATCCCTCTCTCTCACACTTTCTTAATTTAGTTTGTGGACATGCATGTGTGTGCTTATGTACATATGTATGTATGTAGGTAGGTATGTATGTATTTACTTATCAAAAGCATACAGCCATGCCCGGCTTTCAAAATAGTGTAAGTATTTCAAACATCGCATGTGATTAACTATGATTTGCCCAACTATCGTATAAAATGCGTAAATCAATAATATATACATATTTAATAAATATAATAAATGAAATTTTAAGGTGTTCATACATATGTACGTATTATTTTCCTTTTCTACTTGTATTCCCAGTACTTGTGGTTGAAAGCTTCTTACTCATTTCACAAATCCGATATTTTTTAGTACTTTAAATAACAACTGAAACAATACAAGTACATATATCCAATTATTTAACGTTCCCATGTAATCGAAGAAAACTTCCAGTTCCAGTCTTTTCCAATCGTGACTTCTGCATATGCACAAGCTCCATATGTACATACATATGTATGCGCACACAAACACACACACACAAGTTAATACTTGCGTCGTAAGTACAGTGCATAAGAAGCCAGTCTGGAGTTTAGGTGCCACCAGCAGCTTTGTTCAACTTCTCGAAACTTGCCGTATGGAGTCGCACATGCGCAGCAGCTGATGCGAATGCTCACTGACCTTGACCCTCAATCGGCAGCGAGAGCGCAGACAACGGTTGAACACGATGCGCATGCAGCCAGCCGGGCGAAACTTGTTGCCAAGTGCAGCAGCAAAGACCACGCAGTCAAGTTGAAGTTTTGCCCCCTCCATAGCAGCCCTCCTCCCAAACCACAAGCGTCGTCAGCACACCGACCATACATACATACACTTATATTTGCGTGTGTGTGTGTGTCGCTTGCAAGTTTTCACCATTAGCAGCGCATGGCGACGACTGTACTTTGCCTAAAGAAGCAGCACATAAATACATATACACGCAAGTATATGCTTTATTCCCACGTGTGTGTGTGTGTTGTGCGCCGATATACTCGTAGGTCTCGTTGCACAAGGAAGCAAAGCAAAGAAAGCAGCGTACAAACACACGCACATGCACACGGCAATACGCTAGAAACAATGGCAGAATTTTTGCTTTATGTGGCGGCACCTCCACCAAGCTGACTCAGAGTGACAAAGGGAGTGAGAGCGAGCGAGAGAGGGCGACAGCCGGCAGAAACCATCAGCTGCCGCGCCATGTGTTCGCGCAAAAATCAGGGGGGCAGCTGCTGCATCATTTGCCGGCTTAGAGAACAAGAACTGGTAGCTAAACTGGTTAGCGGGGGGAAAAGGAGAAAAAGCGGACGATCTGCAAAAATAAAAAAAAAACTTAAATTCAAGTGAAACACACATGTATTGTGGGGTTATTATTATTATTTCTTTTGTCTCAAATCAGCAGCTCCAGCATTTTAATTTACAATTAAAAAACAATCACAGTGATATTTGAATTTTTCATCATCATCATCCTCGTAGTTCGCCTTGTTTTCTGTCTCGGTCAAGTGAAAAAGGTTTTACATCTGAGTTTGTTTGCTCATCCTCATCAAGCTTTTTGCTTCATTTTCATTTCTCTTTGTCATCTTCTAACTGCCTTTGCTCTTGTTTTCGCTGTTGTTGTTGCTGCCAGCTAGCTAACATAGCTAACCCGCTAGAGATCTTGCTTGTTGATGATAGGTGAAGTGCAAAAGCTCGCCGGCCGCAGCTTTGTGGAGGAACATGCCTCGCCTCTCTTTCGTTCTCAATCGATGATCGCCTCATTGCTCTCCTACTTTACTTTGTTGTTATTTATCTTCTGCGTGTTGGAACTCCTAATAGGATACATTGTAGTACATACATACTTTTATATATTTTTACGAGTTTTTGTTTTTTGTTTTTGTTTAAGGTAAATTATATATTCTTATATAGTTTTTTTTTCTTCCATTCGTTATAATTGTAATTAGTAAATTCAAACACGTTTGCAGCATAATAATAATAATAATATAGTTGTTGTTGCTATTGTGGTAGTAGCTACTAAAATACAACGTCTGTTTCTTCTACTACTGCTTCCAGCAGCTGCACAGCGCCACCAGCGCTATCGTTGTCTTCTCTTCTCCCAGACTATTGCTGTTCATCGTGCTTCCTCCTAGTTGTTGTTGTCTTGTATACACTGTTCTTCTACGACTGCAGGCTCAGAGCTTTGGAATTAGAGATGTGCTGCTTAGATGATGGTTAGATATATATATGTGTGTATGGATGTGTGAGTCTGTGTGGGTTTGTGTATGTGTGGTTGTGTGCTTGGGGTTGTTTTTGTGTCTGTTGATCTTGACTTGGTTTAACTGATTGGTCGCTTCTTCTTTTTTTTTTGCGTTTGCGTTTTGCTGTTCTTGTTGTTGTTGGCTGGCAATTGATTTTTTCATTATATATTTTTTTCTTTTCATTTTTTTATTTGACAAAACATTTTCGTTGATTTCTCAGAGAGCGCTCGCGCTGCTCTCTCCTAATTCCGTCCACCCTTCTCATCGCATTCACGTCTCAGATGTCCACTCTTGCCACAGCCATAGCAAGTCTTTGACGTCTCCGGGCAGTTCTTGGAGATGTGTCCGGTGCGGTTGCACTTATAGCATGAGACATTTGCTGGCCCTGTGCCGCGCTCGTTAACCGCATCGGGGCAGTTGCGCACCCAATGACCGGGCTTGTTGCACCTGTAGCACGTCGGATTATCGGCCTGGGTGCAGTCCTTGGAGATGTGGCCAACACCGTTGCAGCGGTAGCAGCGTTCCGCCTCTTCGGGGCACGCGCGTGCAAAGTGCCCAAATTGATTGCATTTGTAGCACTTTTCACGATTACGACGCATACCACCGCCGCCGCCGCCACCACCTCCATCACGCATGCCACCGCCACCGGGTCCGCCGCCTCCTGGTCCTCCGCCGAGACTGCAGTCCCGGGCAAAGTGACCCGGCCGGTTGCACTTGTAGCACGTGGCAGACATCGACATTGTACTGTACTTGAGTTAATTAGATTCTGTGTACAACTGTTAACCACACGTTTCGTATCTCCGACACACACACGAGCTGAGCTGCTGCCTGCACGAGCAAAACTGACTTGCGTTAAATGCAATTAAACAAAAACTACAGGATATGCGAAACTCGCTCGCCGTAGTTTTTTCGACGCCAAAAATTAAAATGGCTACCGCACAAAACTAGTACAATGGTATCGCCAGAAAATAGGTATCGAGTATGGAAAAACGCCGCTGGCCAGTCACAGAAGAACGTACACACAGGGATGTTTTGATTACACAATTGCAACACTGCAATTCCACGCGGTATACATTGGTACAAAATACTGGCAATATGCTGCCAAATTTCAATTCGTACAAACGCCCGCTCAAATTTTTGTGTATATGTATATTCACTGTCTATTTGAGTAAAAACAAAAAACAGCTTTGTTTCTTATATTATCGTTATTACTTGAGCTTACAGCGCAAGTGTCATAGATCATAATCAATTGGATTTGTTTTGTTGGTCAGTTGCATTGATAACCCACTTCGCACTGAAGTCAACTTGTCTCATTAGCACGTTAGCAAAATTTTCTTCGGTCCGATTCGGCTGCCTTCTGTGGATACACGCGACAGTCGTTCGTCTGATCATTCCATAAATAAATAGTCTAGAGCTCACTTGCAATAAGTTTTGCTTTAATTGCTACGCTCGCCTCACTGTTCATGGTTTAGTGTGCTGCCAGACTTGTCGCCGGCAGCCTTGCCATATGAGCGTGCTAGCACGAGTTGGCAGCTCTTAAAACTCCAGCAATATTTTGCATCCGTGCAATGTATTTCGGTGTTTTTACCAATAACAAACTCACGCTAGTTATGTGTGCAAAATGTTAATTGTTTTGGTAGTGATTGCCATACTGAGCCAATGCACAGCCACGTCTACGATACACATGCCAGTGACGACTCAGGACATAATTGCAGGTGACGTGTTCTTTGAAATTATTTCGCCTCAAGATCTGGAATACACCTACCGATTGCGACCGGCCAAGGACTTTGGCGTGTCCTTCTCACAAAAGCTGGAGGGTGTGCCCATGGTGCTGGCCGATCCGCCCGAAGCTTGCCAGAAGCTACGCAATGCCCGCGAGATGCAGGGCAGCATTGCGCTCATGGACAGGGGGTAAGTTGGATGTGGGAGGGTGTTCGGCCAAATGGTCGTAATCAAAATTTTCAACCTATTTATAACCTATTTGCTTTATCTATAAACAGCGAATGCTCGTTTCTTACCAAAACGCTACACGCCGAGGCCGCCGGTGCCGTTGGCGCTATTATCACCGAATACAATTCAAAATCGCCCGAGTTCGAGCATTATATTGAGATGATACACGATAAGACGAACCGGGATGCACAAATACCGGCTGGCTTTCTGCTGGGTAAGAATGGCATCATCATACGCAGCACACTACAACGGCTGAAGCGTGTCCATGCGCTGATAAATATACCTGTGAACTTGACCTTTACCCCGCCATCGAAAATCAATCATCCGCCCTGGCTAGGCTGGTGAGTCCAGAAGGAAGACAGCGCACAGGTTCAGGATGCGCCTAACAAAAATCCGAAACCAAAGTGCATACTTAGTCAGCGCGGGCTTTACATGAACTTTAAGCGTAGTTTCGTATTATGTTTATGTATATGTATATATATATATATATATATATATACAAGCATATATTTATCTAGGCTGCAAACCCTTTAAATTTGTAGTATTTCCAAATTTACCCTGTGAAAATTAACCGGGCTATAAAGATTGTATCATATGCATTTAAAAGTAATGCTTTATATTGGAACAACATGATTTACCTGTAATACTATTTCTATGTGTATAGAAATTACCAAAATGTTAAGTACGTGCATTAAAATTTTGCCAATTTAAGCTAATTCCTTGCCAAGATTATAAAATGCAATATACAGCCAAAAGGTTATGATTTGTTATTAAATTAATATAAATATTATAATATGTATTTTAAATTTGCAAACATGCGCAGCTAAAATGATTGTATTCTATTTCTTCAACATTTACAAATGAATATATTTTTTATGTATTTAAATATTATATTTGTGAAATCCTCTTCAAGACAATGGTTTGCAGCCTTCTTAATTATATTTGACTAAGCAAAAAACAAAAAGAAAAACTGAAACTGAACTGAATTTAAGTAGCGAAATTGTAAACAAAAGCAATCCTCTAACAAAAATAGATCCAAGCGTAATTTGTAAATAAAATTGCTAAGCAAAAGACAGTTGGTAAGGAATTGTAAGTTAAACCAAATACTATGCATAAATCTTTATTAAAGCTATAAGTAACCATATGTAAGTCAACTGCTGCATGTCGAGTGTTCACTGTATCAGAACCTGCCCAGGGCACTTAAATTGAGGCACATGCCCAGTGTGAGCACTACAATGGTCACAACGAGTATGGCAAAGCACAGATAGTTGGACTGGATGGGCATGCGAAAGAGCTTGGCGGACATGTCCAGCGAGGAGGCGAACAGCAGCGTTGAATTGAGATCCTCGGCGGAGGTATTGTGATATACAAATGGACGCACCCGTATCTGATGCCCGTTGGCCTGGGCATTCTGGCAGACACGCGTCACGGAGCCGGCCACAAAAAATGGCAGCAGGCCCAAAAATAGCCACAACATGACGTTGGCAATGTTCAATAGCACCAGCTTCAAGGCGCAGTAGTGGAAATCGAAATCCTTGAACAGATAAACGAGTCCAGCAAATGCATACGCCAGATTCATGACAATCAGAAAGCACACGGGTATGGACACATGCTGGTTGACACGTTCCAGCAGCTTGCGAAACTCGAGAATCTCACGCATCCAGTCCAGCGAATCGATGGAGTGCATCAGCAGCTTGTGCGACAAGGTCTCCAGATGCACGCGCAGCAAATAGCATTCAATGTAGTAGCTGCTCAGCACAATTATCTCGACCAGGTCCTGCAGCAATATGGTGCACAACAGGCAGATGCGCAGGCACAGCTCCCAGTCGCGCAGTGCATCGGCCAGCCAGGCTACCTTAATGATCTGAGCCGGCTGCATGATGACTACGCAGCAGGCGTAGCCAAAGAGCAGCAGCAGCAGTGTCAGTGCCACGCCCAAATATAGCCAGAGCATGCGGCACAATCGTTTCGGTTTGGCTGAGAGCAGAAAAACACGCTCAATGAGATTCTGGAGCTGCTCGTGCTCGATCACCTTGCAGACGAGCACCGCGGAGACAAAGCTCAGCAGGTTCAGGGCACTCGGCACCACATATCCAAACAGCAGCTCACCAATGGTATTGGGCGTGCTGGAGGCGGAGGAGGAGCCGCAAACATCGCTGTTATTGCCATAACCACCGGGTCGTATGTCCCGATAGCTACTGAAGCCGCGATCCCCACTGGAAATGCCGAAAATATTGTTAATTTTTATCATCTGTCATCCGGGTCGCCCACTTACCGATAGCCACACAGATAGCGCAGCACATATCCCGCCAGGAGCACACAGAGCACCATCAGAGCCTGGACATAGCTACAGCAGGCGCGCGCATTGCTCATGTCCGTAGAGATGGGATTGAGACCAACCAGCGTCAGTATGGCCACATACGGACGCAGAAACTGCAATGTTTTTATTTACTTTTATTATTGGCAGTTTTTACAGATATGCCTTTAATTTAAAGAAATTTAAAATTTAAAATTGTTTTTTTTTTTTATTTTTTTTTTAGTTTTAAAACATTAGCTTTTATATTTGTTTATATATTTGTATCCTTTGAAATATATAATTTCTACATAAATAATTACTCGTTAAAAAAAAAACAAAATAATATACAAATTTTGAATAATTGAAGACTGAATTAGGAAGCAATTTCTAGATACAGAGACTGATTTCTACAAATTTAAAATCCGAGCATAAAAATGATATATTAAAAAAAATTCAACTTTTTATATTTGCATATATCTCCTGACAAATCCACAAACAATTCACGCGATTTTTCACATATCTCCCGATTTTATCGCACAAGCAATTCATAAGATTTGTATTATTCCCATAAACAGATTCTCATCATTTAAAGATACTTTTTCAGAATATTGGCATTCTGATTTTTTATTTTTTATTTATTTTACGTCATGTTCCGGGTAAGGAAGCATTGTGTATGCGTTTACTTATCAAATTCACAATAATTAAAAAAAAAAAACAACTTTTTTTCTGTGCGATCTTCGATTTAAGTTACAGAAATCACGGGGAGTAACATATATTCTTATATTTATATTCACTGTATATTTCTTTTTATCGCTGTGTAATTATTTCCGCTATTCGTTGACTATATCGATTGCGTACTGTATTACATGTACGCATATACATTTGTGTATATATCCGTTTTTTTTTGCTGTATCCGCGATACGTACCTTGCGCTTGCAGTAGCTGAGGATCGCCGATGTCGGCTCATGCTCGCCCGGCTGCTGCAGTTCATCGTGCGTGGCACCGTTCAAGCGATTGATGAAACAAAAAGAGCTATCCGCATTATTACGATACATGATAATCGCAGACAAAGAGGTTTACATGCAACGATCACAACAACAATAACAACAACAACAACGAGAAGAACGGCGACAACAACAATAACACAGGCGCAAGCTAGCACACATAACGACGCGACGGCTCTTGGTGCTGGCAGTGACAATGACTGGAACTGGAGCGAGTGGAAAGCGATCGTCGGTGCTGGCGGCACAGCAAACACTGAACGCGATAGCGAGAGCTTCAATGCCAGTGCGAGCGAGAGCGAGTGGGAAAAACTTACGGCGAGCTCATAAAGCCAGGATGATGCGGCGGATGTAGCGCGGCTGCATCGCAGCAGCGATGGCGACTCACTGAGCTGAGCTGTGGCTGCTGTTGCTGCTGTTGTTGTCGCTGTCGCCGTTGTTGTCGCCGTTGTTGTCGCCGTCGCCGCCGCTTTCATCAATTGCAGCTATAACGGTAAATTGAATAAATTGAAACTCGAGTCGCGCACAGCGAGCCGCATGCGAGAGCCAGAGAAGCCGAGGCTGACGGCGATCTCAATGCCGAAGCTTTCCTGCTGTCACGTTTAAGCTCTCTTCGAGCTTTGCTCGCCGCTGCGTGCTCACCGTGTGCTCTCTCCCGAGGGCCCCTTATCAATGGAATATATCTCGGTAACAGAACGCGACGCCTTCTGAGCGCTGCTGTGCACCTGTTACAGTTTAGATAGGAATCAGCTTGTTATCGTGACCGCTATCTATCCAAATTAAACGCCACGACATTTGCACATATGTAAATACATACACACACGCATTTGGATGTGTGCGTGTTTGTGTGTGTGCATATAGAATTGTTTTTATGTGCTTTATGTTTTTCTTTGTTACGTTCTCCCGCGATCCGTTTATTATGCTTGATTTGTAGTGAATCAACACGGAATTTGTTTATGTTATCTATATGACTGCTGCCCGACGCGTATTGTAATCCCCAACTGCCGGACTGCAGCCGTTCCCAGCAGCCGCATACCCAGTCGGTACGTGTGGAGCTCTCCGATAACCCAGAGGATCATGCATTGTTCGATGCCCTACACTTGGAAGGGGCGGCTATATGAAGTGTGTGGAAATTAAATGAGGAAAATATTTAAATGAATGTTCATTTTATTAATGATAATAATAATAATAGTAAAAATAATGATAATATATATATGCACATAGAATACGCAGTCTCTCTTTAAATCATATGGAATAGATGTTGTTATCTAGACAGCAATCATGAATGGGAAATGCGTTGAATGAGAAAAAATGGTAGACCTTACAATTTTGGAAATTTTCAACTTTTTTATTAATATATTATGGAGTTATTCATGTTTTAGTGTATTTTTTCTTTTTGTTTTACTTCATATATAATTGATTGATATTTCATAAGATTGGGCTTGCGGGAATATATAATTTACACATATGCTGATTTACCATTTTCTTCTATATAGGTATTTTGATAGATCAGAATGGATATGCGTTTAAATTCTAGTTGTTTTTATTTGCATTATTTGCATACGTGCACTTTTTAATATTTTCCAAAATATTCTAGGTTTTTGACCCACATTATAGATATTAGAGTATGTCCAAATAACTTTACATACTTTTGAAATAATATCGTTTTTTTTCCCAGTAATTTAGACGCTGTCTTCCATAAAAGCGCGCTACAGAGTTTTACAAATATAAAAATCTTTATAAATAAAATTCGAATGCAATTTCAAGTGTAGCGCCTAATTAGGTCGCTAAAGCCGGAATCCACTCAATAACGAATCTGCGTCTTTCTGCGGCTATCTTAAATGAAATGCGAATAACAAAAACAAAGCTAGAGTAAGCAAAATACAAAACCAATTTAAAAAGTGACACTCAAATTTGTTTCTCTCGCCGCTGAGCTGCCCTTCGGACGATCAATGGAGATCTCGGCTGTTGCTATACCCTGAGTCCACTTAAAACGCTAAATAAGGGTACAATGATATTGTGCGAATCTGTGTAACAGGCAGGAGAAGGTTTCTTCGACTTCATCAAGTATATATATTCTTTGATGTAGCTATATCTAGCTATATTTGATCTAGCTATATCCTCTTGGATCGACACTTTACAACTAGAGACTTGACAAATTGAAACATATATCCTCTCAAGTTTGTTTAGAGTGATCGTTAATTTGGAGATCATTAAGATTGGACTATAAAACCCGAAGTGATTCAAGAACGCATTTCCCACAGTGTGGAGCTCAGCGACTATTCAGCTGTGTATGTATATATGTATGTGTGTATGTTTTTTATCTGGCTTAAGGATATCTGCTAGTCGGGCACTCCCGATTAAGTCATATTTAGTTACTGTTGTTGTTGTTGCTGCTGTTGCAGCAGCTGCTGTCGTCGTCCCCCCCCCCCCCCCCCCCCCCCCCCCCCTCCCCCGCAGTGCGCCGCCCGCTGCGGTTGAGTGAGATGCTCGTGCACGCAAGGCAATAAAGTATCGAAATTTACGTTGAAAAGTAATTAAATTAAATTAAAGACAAGTCGCAAGTTGTTTAAACTTTTTGTGACGACGCCTCGACTTGAATTGTTGTAGCTCCACGTCGATTTGCATGATGGGCAGCCGCAGTCGATGCCGCAGTTGACGTTGACATTTTTGTTGGAGCCGGCAATTTCCACCCGCAGCCATCAGGCATTTGGAGCAGCCCCAACAGCAGCTGGAACGGGGGCTGCGGCTGCCAGGCAGGAGATGTGCTGGTCAATGCTGTCATTGCCTGAACTCTGGTCACTCATGTAAATTAGCTGCGTTGTCAAATAATGCTGATTTGTTGTTGGTTCGTTGGCAGACTAACAAAAGCAAAGCTACCCATACCCCTCATACCATATAGAACCCTCTACCCCCCCCTTCTGTTACCATGCGCTGCCAAACTTGACAGACCGAACTGTCCAATGGCCATCACTTGACGCATATCTCGAACCATGACAGAGCCGGACAGTGTTCGACGTGCAGCTTTTTGTTTAAAAATCAAATCAAATATTACGAGAAAATTTCAATGCGGTTAAATGCATAGGAAATTGTATGCCCTCTCTCTCTCTCTCTCTTGCTTTCTCTCGCTCTTTTGAGGTCCAGCCGCAACCGCAAAAACGCAAATGTTGACTCGACACTCGACGGGGCCTCAAAATGGGGCTGTTCTCGTTTACATAAATCTTAAACAAGTCTTTTATTCCACGTGTTTCACACAACAAACGTTTCACATTTCCAGTCGCATGAACAGTGCGGTTATTTAACATTAATTGTTAATTAATGTAAGTTTTTAATGAATATTTCTTGAATTGACCGAATCGTTTGTGACTATTCTTTGCATGTTTCATTTCTAGTACTCCAACAAATAACTTGCTAATATATTAAAATGATAAGCAATAAGTGATTATCTGTTCCTGATTCCAAAATATTTGCGAATAAACTATTTTAAAAGATACAGATAAAATAGTCACTGTAATGCTTCGTTCTTAATTGTTTCATCTCTTTCTAAATTCCCGGGCGTTTTGCTGTTGAAACTGAAAACGGGAACTCCTGAAACTAAGTTCAAAATGATGTCAATTTTTGTCAATAGCTGCAATTGCCCTATTAAACGGAAACATACGGGTCTGTTTATCTATACATTTGTTGCTACTCAGCCGTGTGGCATGTATTGAGCTGCGTCTTAAAGGGTTTTAAATTTGGCGACACGCCTCTGTGCACACAGATGCTTGCCGCATGCCTCGAAAAAGATCAGATTGTGCGACGTGTCAAGTGTCCAAAATTCAATTAGACTTCATTAGCATTAGCAGCCGGTGTCACATGGTTATTGTTGTTGTTGTTCCTGCTGCTGCTGGTGCTGGTGCTGTCTGGGCCCACCTTGTGGCTGTGGCGTGCACAGATTTAACCGTTTGCAGATTAGCATAAATGAGATCATTAAAATGCGCTTACGTTTGTGTGGGTGGGCGGGGTTTAGTTGAGTGGTTCGGTGGTTCGTATGCAAGGTGCGACTTCCTTTTGCACGTAGCAGACGCAGCCTGCAAATTGCCTGACTGTAAGTGTCACTGCTGTCGGGGTTCGTGTCTTGGCTACTCACACACACACACACACACACACACAAACACATGGAATTTGCATAATTATTGTTGGCAGCTTTGACATTAATGTTTAATATTGCAACTAGTTTTCGGGCATCTTATTGCTACACTTTTTTACCATGGCTAAATTGGGCATTACATTTTGTGTAACGAGTCCGTAAACAAGCAGCCACTCAAGCTGTTTACACTGTCGCACAAGTTTCGGCAAATACGGTTCCATATTGGGTTTGGCGAGGGTAATTAAATTCCGTCTGACTATATATTAAGGTTAAAGCTTGAAGTTCCCAAATGCACTGAAAATAGATTCCTTCTTTCATGCATTGCTGTTAAGCTTTGTTGCTGCTTTAAAATTCGCAATGTGTTTAAGCTACCAGTGACTGATAAGGCGTGTCTTTAGTGGATGCAAAAGTTGACACAGAAACTTTATGTGTATCAAATAAATATGTAAATATGTAGCCAACCTTTATTTTTAACAATTAAAAAGGTTTATTAAACTAGACTATTTATTAACATTATCTAAATAATAACTCGCTGTTAGAATTCCCAATGAGTTTAAGCTTCTGGTGGCTGATAAGGCGTGGCTTGAGTCCATTGAGCAGACCATTAGCAAGTTCTTGAATTAGATATCCTGCAACCTGCGCCCTATTTCACTTATTTGTAATAAGTAAAAAAATTAATAAATATATAATCCATCTTGACTTTAGCGCTAAAAAGGTTGGTTAAACTTGACTATTAATTAAGATAAAGGTTTAAAATAGCGTTGAAAGCCTTAAATGAGCTTAAAGTAAAATAATTATAATTTTAAAATGTAATTTTGCCAGCTGGGTTGAACTGAAACCGGAAAATTTTTTGCCCGATTTGCTGTTAAGCGTCGTTAAAATTCACAACGAGCTTAAGCTTACAGTGATTGATAAGGTCAAGTTAAGAGTCACTGGAAGACCATTAAAAGGTGCTTGCATGAGCTCTTCTGCCAACCTGGTCCCCATTTCGAAAATGTGTAGCAAATGAATAATTAACAAAAAAGGTCAATCTTACATATTTAGCACTAAAAAGGTTACTAAAATTTGACTATTTGGTAAGATAATCTAAATGTAAGCACACAGAGCTAGAGAGAGCTTTTGAGAGCTTTAAGAAAGCTTTAAGCAAGAGAAATGAAATGTAAATACCATATCGCGAGTTGCCTTGCAATAAGGATTAAATTTAAGCTGAACAATCAAACATGTTTGGTTAAAACTTAAATATTACATAAGGGAAAAACAAATAAACATTAAAAACAGTGCAGCATAAACTTTATGTACAAAAACTTGCATATACGAAATACAATTTTATTTTATAGATATCGCTTGAACTGTTATGGATGC